CTCTTCTTCTTGTCTCTAGATATGGTCAAATTAATTCTTAAATAGATGGCATATATCCAACCTTCATAACACCATATAAACAGCATATATGCTACCCATTATATCACAGAAAATTCTACCCCAAATCAGGTTAGACCCTTAATTGTACTCAAGGAAGCAGCTGGAGAAAGAAAATTCACTACTGTTTTCAAACACCTAGGGACTAGAATACATGGCCAAAAAGCTGACAACTGAGTCTTAGCCTAAATAATATGCATTAAGGAAAAAATATAAAAGATGATCCTTGAGTGCTTGTTGGATGACTTAGCACAACTTAAGTCCTAAGAGTTAAATATTACTTCATTTCTAGATCCAAAGCTTAAGTGATTTCATCAAACTGTGAGGAGAGAGCAAAGAACCTGAGTGACTAGCCTTCATTATCACTGAATGTTTCCAAAGTAACTGAGGCTGTTAATTACTTTCATTTCAATGTGACATAGTATCCAAGAGAACGGTAACTAGTATGTTGGGTTAACGGATGCTAAGTACTCAAAGTTTTAACATTTGTAAGAAAATTAGTTATTCATATATGTGCCCTTAGTTTAGATATTTCTCTTCTTCTAGGTTAATGTTCTAAAACAATTATGCAGCCTCTGAATTCCACAGGATCTAAAACTAGCTAGATATGGAAAGGACCCAATTAAAGAGCCTTACTAAAACCTGCTTGTGAAAACCTCCACTTGCCTCATTCCATTTCAGCCAACATGTATAAAGAATCTATTCCATCCTTAGGAATAAGCTGGGTACACTAGAAAATACAAGAAAACACAATGGACTCTGCTCGACCTTGAGAAACAACACTGCCTGGGGGAAAAACACAGAGTGAAAGAAGAGGTGCTGTGAAGAGTTCCGGCTCTGCCAGGGAATGGCCACAGGAACGCGAGCCTGGCTTTCTCCAGCAGTACAGTGGGCTTAGCATTATACCAGCTGTCCTACAGCAATGACAAAATAAACCCCAATAAAAGAGAAAATCCTTTGAAACTTAAAAGAAAATCATTGTAAGATAATATGTAAGATATAACAAATCATATTCATGAGACAACTTAGAGAATAGAAGAAAACATAGAAGTATACTACATATAATATAATGTAGAATTTCTCAAAGTTAATCAACACAACTCTAATTCTGTGAGAGGTTTATAGGTATATCTCAGAAAAATAATCCCATGGCCAAGTAGGCATAGGAAGCAAAAGGCTTAATGCTTTTTCAGTTATTAGTACTACCATTACCAGTAGCTAAAAATTAGTGCCAGTCACAGTGGTGAGCCTTTGCTGTGGGACATCTCATGTAACCTCACAACAACTTTGTAAGACAGATGTTATTATTATCCCCATTTCACACATGGGGAAACAGGCAGAAGACTTATATAACTTTCCCAAGGTCACACAGCTAGTTAGTGGCAGATGCAGGATTCAAACTCAGAGCTCCCACATTTAACCACAACCCATACTGCTCTCTACTTTCTCAAAGTTTTTGAAATTCACTGTGAATCTCTCAGAGGGGCACAGAACATGTATCTTTCCTGAATTAATTTTTTGGAAACATGTGTAGCACTTTGGTAAATGGAGCAATAATGAAAGTGCATTCACTTCCTTTTCTTAAATTCTTCTTCCTAGGCTTGGGCTGTATTTTAGTGGAAGGTATTTCCTTTATGACCCATTTCACCCAAATCAGTAATTCAAGAAATAACAACTTAAAATGATCTGCCTAGGTCACTATCCTAATATAGAGAATAGCTCAGCAGGGGACTCCACACATCTCCACACTTGGTTTAAATGCCTGGCCCAGGATTTCATATTGCATACCTGGGGAGAACATCTAGACTTAAGGGATGAACATGTCACCAACTATTAACTAATACATATTGCAGTTTATCCCCTGAAATCACAATATCCCATCAAGTGGAGCAAATAAGACTGAAATGTTAAACTTTCGCTTTGTATTTATTAGCTTTATTATACTTTATAAGAAAAAAACTAAATAGGCCCATTAGGCAGTTTTGTTACCAATGAGTGGATTTTCCAATATTTTCTTCATCTAGTTTATGTAGCATAGCCTGAAATGTAATCATTTTGTTTGGAAAAAAATCACAATTTTTATAGTCAACACCATTAAGGTAAACTTATTGTAGGAGAAAGTCAATCATAACACATAAGACATTTGGTTTTATAGAGACTTTAGTAAAGTGGATTCTCATTTCTTGATGATTATACCATTTCTTTGTGCTGAGCTAAAAGCCAGGGACATAAGAACAATTTACGGTGAAGCCCAGAAAGAAATGAAGGCCAGTGATCAATGACAAGTGGTTATGCAATTTGGTATCGTCATGTCCTTTCCCCTTAACAATTGCCTAGGCAATAAGATAACTGAAATGCCTTCTTTTCATAAGAAATCAACTATACAAAATAAAATACTAAAATAATCATGATATTGCCACTCACCCCCCATAAACAATCACTGTCAAAAACATTAAATCTTACAACATGCATACTGAGCCTAAGAAATGACAGCTAAATGAACTCTTAGGATAAGTTGTTAATGTCACTGCAGCATTCCAGCAAATTAAAGAACTTGGGCTAAGGACATGTGGGAGGATGTTTCCTTGGATATTGTGGTCATAATAAAAGGAGAAGTTCTAGCCATGCTTCTGGCTAAAGACAACATTAACCAGGAGAATGGGAAGTTACTATTTAATGGGCACAGGGTGTCAAATCTGTAAGATGAGTTCTGCAGATGGATGGTGCTGATAGCTGCAAAACAATGTGAATGTACTTAATGCCACTGAACTGTAGACTTAAAAATGAGTGAAATGGTAAATTTTGTTACATGCATTTTATCACAATTAAAAATATTTTTAAAAATACTAGCATAATTTTGTTGTAATTTTTCCTTGTTGGGTGGGCATGCTACTTCCATCCCCCCCCCCCTTTTAAATAGATAAACCTGTGTTTTAAGGTAAAAGATTTGAATTTTAACATTAGAATATTTCTAATAAAAATTATCTGCTGGGGTTTGGTGGTCTTATATCTTCTACCTTCTAGAACAAGCCAGGATAATAAATTCACAATAGGCCTTCAATTAAAAAATACAAACATGCTTGACAGTGAAACATTTGGTGAAATAGGACAAATAAGAAATGGGTTAGGAGTCTAAAGAAATGTTTTTGGATTCCATTTGAAGCCAAAAAAAAGGAATCCAAAGAGTTGCTAGAGATCTTCCCTGTATTATTATAACTGGATATAGCATGAAAGCATGAAGAAGGCAGGCTAAGGCTTCAAAAACTTCTCCCTCCAGGGAAATCAAGAAAAGGAAAGCGAGTGTACATGTATGTCCCTTCTCTCCTTTTAAGGGTACCTGAACTCAAGAACCTTCAGAACAGAGTCAAAATTCAAGTCAGATAAGAGTAAGGAGGAGAAGAATAAAATGAAGAGATGCTTTTGTGCAGAATTGGGGGCTGCATGACTGGGAATGCTAGTAAGATCCAGGGAAGGCCAATAGTAGCCTCAAACTCATTAGACACATTAGCCATCAAACATTTTAAAGGCAAGACCCAAGGACTGCATAAGAAATATGTCATTACTTAATCCTCTGAACTGGCTCTACCTACAGAGAGGACTCAGCCCTGGGTGAGGGACTGAAACAGTTGACTTTTGACTTTTGAGGGGCTTCTAACCCTGAGGAAATTAATTCTATGCCAAGGCTGCATCTACACGTGGAGGTGGTTCTGGGATTTTAGGATGTGACCCTATATGATCATAGGGCAATAGAGCAATTTTTACCTGTATTCATGTGGTTAGTTAGAACTTAAAATTCTGAGAGCATTAGTAACCAATTAGAAAATAAATTATTTTACAACTTTGACAATATATATTAATATCAATGCTAAAATATCTAAGGTGAAAACACAATCATAACGTGATGCAGGGTTAGCATGTCTGTGGAGAACAGCTCTCTGGAGGAAAGCTTTATTACTCCCTCAGGGCTTTCTTACAGAGTATGGATTTTTTAATTCCTGGTGGAATATTTTTCATACACCATTGCAGACTATTAAGTACCAGATATTACATTATGTAGTTTAAACTTTGCACTACTGCATAAGAAAGACTTCCCTGTCGAGATAACTATTTTTCATGGTTAGCATTTTTTAATATGAAAATGAACACTCCTTTAGGGTAGGATCACTGCAACTAGAATTTGGGAGAATTTTATAACTTAACATATTCATAACGTGTAGAAATTCTCTCAGGGGAGCAGGGTGAAGAGAGAAGGAAATACAACAGGAAGAAGGCTTTAAAATATATATCTATATCTCTATATATCTACTGACTTCAGAGAGAGGAAGGGAGAGGGAGAGAGATAGAAACATCAATGATGAGAGAGTCACTGATCGGCTGCCTCCTGCACACCCCTGACTGGGGATCGAGCCCACAACCCGGGCATGTGCCCTGCCTGGGAGTCAAACCGTGATCTCCTGGATCCTAAGTCAATGCTCAACTACTGAGCCACACCCAGCCGGGCAGGAAGAAGACTTTTTAATAACTTACAGTGTTGACACAGGGCAAAGCAGTGGTATTTGTAAGGTTTGTCTGCCACTGGGCATAGTTGTAAACTTACAGGAGACTAGCATAGGGTGCTGGCAAGTTAAAAAAAAAAATCCTGATGTTAAAGAGCAAAGAAAAAAATGCATTAAATTTCAGGCCAGTTAAAGGTACACTTGCTAATAGTGGACTATTAACAGCTCACCCTGGAGAGATGCAGACTCAGAAATATTAAAAAGGCTATATAGATGCACTTTTCCAAGCAATTCCTGAGAAAAATAGATGCCTTGCAGAATTTTGGAGTTAAATGTGGAAATAAAATTTAAGCACTGGTGGTCATTTAAAAGTCTTTGCCAAGGAGAACTTGGATACCCACATGTGGCAAAAGTGGATAGAAAGTTTAAACAAAATTGACTACTCACTTGTAGACTGTGCCTCCGTTGCCATGACCAAGAGTGTCTCGATACCGTATGTCTTGTTCATTCATCTCCACAAGAAAGAAAGAAAAACAAAAAGAGTGTCATGCTGTGGATGGAAATGTCAAGGAAAAGCAACTCTGGGCCATAAACAACAAGCAGTCTGGGTCATTTCAAGTTCAGCTGCAAGAACGAGAAGATCAATACAACATTTGCTGTCCAATTTATAAAAGACGATACCAAGGGACAAAGTGATGGAAAGTTTAATGACAATTTGTTTGCCTGGGTCATTTCATTAAAGTTTGATAAAAGGTGTCAAAACGGAATGATATAACATAGCTCAAAAGGGTCAGGTCAGAGATACCGATAAGAACACAGTCTCCAGTACTCCATATAACCAATGCCAAATAGCGCTGCACATAACCAAAGTCAAACTTAGGAAGACAACACACACACACACACACACACACACACACACACACACACACACTGATCTAATTCACGATCTGTAAATAAATCAGTCCCTGAAAACTCCTCAGGTGACCCTATAATTAACATTAAACAAACTGAGTAATGTTAATGATTTTCCTAGAGTAGATATAGCTTTTCTTTGGAAATGATAAATTAGTATACAGCAATAACTGGGTAGAAATCATATTATGCTGATGGAAAAGTCCAAATCCATGCACTTAAAATGCACACATAGTCAAATATTACAATGCATAAAGGAAAGCTATATAAGCATGTGATTCTTATAAACTAAAGTCATTTCCACAATTTAATATATAAAACGGCATACACATTTTCCAAGGTTCTGTAAAACTGTTATACCACAGATACTACTCTCATTTGTATCACAAATAGTAGTAAATTATTTTAGCACCCACAAAATAATGTTGTAGAGTTTTAAAGAACTCCCTAAATAATTATTTATCAAATTACTTTAAGACTAGTCAGGTTATATTTGGTGCATTCAGCAATTTTCTACACACTGGTCCAGTTGCTTAAAAATTAACTGCCAACTTTGTTCACTAAGTGGCTTCAATAAAGGTGTTATTTTCCATATAGCTAAAGCTTGGGAAAAGCCATACTAAGCCCTGAAAAAAAAATCAATTTCCAGGGAATTGAACTGACTTGCATGGGCAGAAAATGGATGGAGTTTTTAATTCAATATCACCTGGAAAAAAAATAGTTTGCTTTCAGACTATTATAGTAAAGCTTTAACTATTTTGCTGTACTCTAAACTCCCACCAATTGAGTAAAGCAAGGCTTCATTTATCAAGGGAAATATTTTTCTTCTATACATTTCTGAGGCTGAAGCTTCGGAGAGCTGTAATAATTAGGAGTACAGTGCAGGTAACAGAAACAGCTAGCTTCCTTTTCAAGCCATTTTGCCAACCCCTAAAAGAATACTGACAGATTAACATGTGAAGGCCAATTCTGCACCCAATTTAATTGTAGTACGACCTGATTGATGCAATTTGCAATTAGCTAATTACTATATTTAGGGTCAGTGGAGAAATGACAGACAAGTAAAAAAACTGGCAACTATTTCCCGATTTCAGAGAAATTCTGTTCTTCACCACCTGTCTGTTACTAATACAGAAAAAACCCCCACATACTTTAACCTTCATGTGGCATGAAGAAAAGAAAACCTCATTATTCTGGACCAAATGATAAATTTTAAGGCAGCATTAACAAAAGGAGCACATAAAGTAAGTTGAGATGCTAAACTAGCAGAGTTGCTATTGGGTTTACTTTGATGGATGGGTATAAAGGACACGTACACAAACAGCAGTATCTACTGGTGGGTACAAATAGGCTAATTCCTCTAATACATTTCTCTAGGTAGTCTAAACATGACTCTAACAACTTAATTTGTATCATTACCTTGCCTAACAAGCTGTACCCTCATCACGGTTTGAAGTAAATTTCTAGGAGAGAGATATTTTACTCAAGTCCACAAATTCTGAATAAGGGTATTCAAGCTGGAGCTATGGAGTACATGGGAGGCAAGCTCTGGAGGGGTGCAATCTGTGGTCATATCCCCTCCACCTCCATCACTCCATCAGGGCCTTCCTGGTAAAAGGACCAAGAGTTTAACCTCAGAAAAATACACATACCAAGACATATTGATATTATACATTCCAGTAATACACTGGGATAGACCTAGGACTTCGGAGGGGGTTTGATTCTGTGGTATTTTGTTGGAGGAAGTGAAGGCACAGGAGTAAATATGGCATATCTCTGAGCAGCTTCAATCATTATAATCCTGACATCATAGTCTTCTTATCTCTATTACCCACTAAATTGAAAAGAGAAGGGGAACAGCCACCCACCCAGCATTCCTGGCACTCCAACCTAAGCAGGAGTGGTAGGCATCCAAAACAGTCAGAAGATAGGGAATGTTCTATGTTGTGCGTGTGTGCATGTCTCTGTGTGTGTGCTACATAAGCAAATTCAAGGATAGAAATCTGGAATCTCTCAGATAATGAGGAAGATTGTAAATGTCGCATAAAGGTAAAAATGGTTTTGAACAAGTTCTAGAACAATGTCACTTAAAGAGACAGTATCCATTAAAAAATGGGTAAAGTGTTTCTATGATGTTTTAAAGTTTTATAGACCCTTGCCTGACCTATGAACTCATTAACAGATTGTTACATTTTACAATATCAGAGTTTTTTTTTTTGCTTATTTGAATTTTCTAATTTTATATGGTATAAATATGATGTTAAAAAGTTTCACAAAGGAAAACTATTAGAGCTGACCTCATGAAATGATTACAAACAAAATTTTCAGAATTTCAAAGCTCTGATCAAAATGTATTACTTTAATTGACCTCAACTATGAAAAATCTTTAAAGGGATTAACAAACAGTAACATTTTTGCCGTTCTAGTTTAGATAAGCATATTAATCCAACTTTCAAAATGAAGCACAGGAAGAGTGCTCATTATGATATAAAAGTGGGATTTAAAAGCTACAGAGTACAACACTCAAATAATATGCTACTTAGGATCAGATATCATAACCACAGAATTTTACAGCATGTTAAGCACTTAGCCCAATTCATGCAGGTCATATAACTAGTCAATAACAAGTAGTCAAGGCTAGAACTCAGTCTTTCATATGCTCTGCTCAAGGCTCGATGATAGCAGTGGATATCATGTTTGAGTACGGAGGGTCAGCCTCGCCATCCATGGTCAGTGGTCCACAGGAAGGAAAACAATCAACTCAGGGGCACTCACAACTGAAAAGCAATTTCATTAGCTATGCTATTTGTTTTTAAGAAGAAAACTGTTTTTAAAATCCTATAGCTCTTTACATAGAAAAGAGGTGAAATAAAAATTTTATTCAATAAAGATCCCAAAATAAATTTAAAATATAACTCAGTTTCCTTGTTTTGACTAAAAAAAAAAAGCAAATAAAAGTCAGAGTAACAGATGTGAAGGTGGAGAAAGAAAAAGTCATGAGTTATGATTACGTGTTTTAAAATCCCNAGGGCTTTCATGAATATGCACAAGAGGACTTGTTAAAAGAATGGTTATTATAATACTGTTGCAAATTGCAGTCAACTAGAAAAGGATTAAATTGAGAAATACTATATTAAAGTTAAGGTAGAAATTTTAATTAAGCTTTGACAGTTTGGTAGTATTCATTAATGTAGTTACACTTTTCTATAAGCTTAAAGTCGTTCTCTTTTTTAAAAAAAAAAAAAAAAAAAAAGGCAAATAAAAGGCAGAATAACAGACGTGAAGGTGGAGAAAGAAAAAGCCATGAGTTATGATTACGTGTCAAGACGGCAAATGACCTGGGAGAAGTGACTGGCACTGGGCCCTGCTCCTGCTGAAAGAGAGGCAGGTGCTGTGAAAGAAATATGGAGATGACGACCAGGGCAGAAGGCTGTGTTTGTGTGGGTAGAGGAGGGTGTCGTGCAGTCTGGACCTACATACACAGTCTCATTTATGTTTCGGTCTTCATATGGGATCTAAGATGAACCATAAGAATCTAAGGGTTTTATAAACTGGTAAGAATTAGATTTTAAAGCTAATTTTAAAGTTTTTCTAAAGGCATTTGAAGTTCTTAAAATACCAGCCAAACATGCATAAGGATCAGAATTAGCTCTAGATCTGTGACTTGTCAGTACATTTATACTTGCTTTATTAGGAATAAGAAAATACTGTCACAAAATATCCTACAAAAATCTAAAAAATAAAAAGAGGAAAAATAACTTTAGAAATGCAAAGGTCAAAGTTACACATACCTGGAGAAACTGTGTACTTTTTAAATCCTTTAAATTGACCTACTGGGCCATTTTTAATCAGTTTCAAATCAAGGGCCAATGTTAAACAGATGATAGCACACTAAAACTGAAGTGGGAAAAGCACATCCAGAAAACACATAATTGGTACTGATTTACAGTTCTAAATAAAGCATGCCAAAAACACCTTCAGGAATCCTCTATTTAAGCAATAACAGAAAAATGGTGTCTCTATTCCAACGACTAAATGTTAAACTTTTTAAAAAGTGCTTGATTTAATATAATATTAATGAAATTAATGGGAAAAATGAAATGGAACTCAATTATGGATCAGTAAAGAATATCCTTTGTTTATTGTCTGTGTTAAGAAGAATCAGTACCTATCGCTTATAAATCATTAAAATAAAAATGCTCAATTAATCCTTATTTTATATGTAAAGGTCTGACAGAAACTAGTCCTATCACTAGACCTCTGCTTCACAAATCGAAGCAATAATGGTTTCAGAAAGCAGTCACACTCTATGAGCAGACAATTGGGGAGATTTAGTAAATCCCACTTTATAGAGCAGAGACTAATCGGAAAATACAAGCCAGTCAAATGTTTCTTATGAACTGTTGACACTATATCAATGCTGAATCAATTGGTGGCATTTACTCTGAGTGACAGAAAAGAAATAAATATTTATATCACATAACCTATATCAATGAACCCAGGCAGAAAGCTATTTCTAACCTGTCAATATTTGATTATCTTGAAGAATCATGTCCCTTTCTTTTAATGATTAATATGAATTCCTTATTAAATCTAAGTGGAGGCTAGTGGAAAGGCAAATCATTATTAATGCTTGAGAGCATAAAACACTAAAAAAACTATGCTCAAGTGTTAAAGTATCGTTAAATGTGACTTACATCTTCCATATCAAGTGGTGTCAGTGTTCAGCCCAGAAATTTATTGATGCCCACAACTGTGCACATTACCTTGCTGCAATGCAATCTCACTCACTCTTTAGTTACCCTACAGCACCAAGGAACTGAGGAATTAGTAGAAGAAAGGGGTATTTTTTAAGATTTCCAATAGTGGGGAAGGAGGGTTGTTTTGTTTGTTTTTGTGAATGAAAGTAAATATAAAGAAGACTAATTCTTAAGAGAAAGAAAATACCATACTGTTTAATGTGGGGTTATCACATTCCCAAGGGAAAGCAATAAATAATCTTTAAGCGTCAAAATTACTGCCATGGCAATCTTCCACTGAAGAGAACCTCATAACTGAGACCACTAAGATATTTATGATACTAGGTTTGTTGTCAAAACACTGGCAACATTTCTGAATGTTCATTTTTGCAGTGGAAATAAACTGTTTTTCATTTTTGAAAGGGGAATCTATGACAGGTTATTTTCCATTGCCTGGGTTGAACAAATGTAGTTAAAGCTTCTTAATTTACGTCAATTCTGAAATATATTTTCCAGTTGAAGAATACAAGCAACCTGTACATAAATTACAATTAGTAATAACATGTTGAAGATACATAAATATCCTAAGCTCAACATTTCTGCTTTTAGTCCAGTTTTGTTTCATATTGGTTCTGAACACACACAGGGCTCCAGAGGGACATGCTTATGAACCTCAATCTAAACAAACCTCTGACTGCTTAAAGTTAAAAACATTAGATAAATACAATCTAAAATTCTGAGACCATAAAGATTGCACATACAACACCAGATTCGCCTTAGCTGTATATACAATGTGTAAGGACTAGAAATCACACATTCTGGATGACTATCAGATGTCAAAACCAGACCAACTTACTTTTTCTAACTGGATTCAAGGGATTGTGCGCTAAATAAGGAAGGCTTACAGGGCACCACCATATAGTTACCATTTTAAGGCACTCACATCTATTAGGTCACAAAGTTACAGGTGATATTAAAGGACAAGCGTGAGGACCCAGCTTTGTCTTCTTGACATGCTACACTACGAGTACTTGATTCATGAAATGCCAATGAGGCTTGGAGAGGTCAGCGTGTGAAGGCACTGAATAAGCATCTGAGATAATTAAGATTTCAGCCTTCGAAACATGGACGGGAAGTGAACAGCAGTTAAGAAAATCAATAAGAGTCTTTTATTTGCAGTGACACAGATGTCTCAGTCAATAGAGCCTAATAGGCAGGCTTAATCGCAATGGACAGGCGCCTGCCTCCAAGGCTATCAAAGGGCTTCCTCTATAACAAACATTAAAACACATTTATGTTGCTATTGAAGAATCGAGGACCCTGTAGGTAGCTTAATTTACCAGTGTATGTTTAAAAGCACTATACTGTTTTAGATGTGTCCATTTACTTGAATCAAAATTAGTGAGAAATAAGTGGCCTGTAGGCCTGTCTGTCCCTCCCTGGATGGGTTAGGTCATGCAGCTTTAAGATGGTCAGTGGACTAGGCAAACCAGGGATCCTAAAGCCTAGGAATTTTAAATGCTAAAGATCTGCTGTTATTCTCTTTCCCCGAAAAGCCAGTGTTAGTTTCAGGACAAAAGAACTGTGCTGTGGTGAGAAAGTAACAGTTTGGTTTATTTTTTCTCCCCAAAGATAATGAAAGAAGCAGTCACCTCAGGATACAGGGCCATTTCGACAACCCATGGGTTGACACACTTGTTCAGAACTGATTAACTTTTTTTAAACTGAGAAGGCAGCAGGGTGTGTGCATGGTACTTCAATCTGCTGGGAGTGAAACCCATTAGCACAGTTTGAAAAACGTGCTGCAAATTGTTCTGCCAATCAAATTAAGCCAAGTAATTCATTTATGACAAGAAGACATTCACGGATTCTTTATGTTTGTTAAGTTTATGGATATAAAAACTAGACAGTAGTAAGTTACTACTATCTGAAAATATTAATATGCAGTGACACTTACCTGACCATTGGCTAATATTTTTTTCAGTTCAGCAGAAGACTTCTTTAAGCTGAAAAGGGAAGACATAATTTTTACTGGCAAGATCATCGACACCTTTGAACACCAATGGAAATTCCAGAGTAAAACACAGATGTAGGGGCTGCACTCTGTACATCCTTCTCCCTGTATAATGTTTTTTCAAAAGTAACTGGCCAAGTGGCAAAGCTATTATTAAAGAGACTGAAACCCCGTTAGTAATTTAAAGCAATAAAAAAGCCTAGCCTGGCCAGGTGTGGCTCAGCGGTTGAGTGTCGACCTAGGATCCAGGCGATCGGGGTTCGAATCCCCGTCAGGGCACATGCCTGGGTTGTGGGCTCGATCAATGACTCTCTCATCATTGATGTTTCTCTCTCTCTCTCGCCCTCTCCTTTCCTCTCTCTGAAACCAATAAAGATATATTAAAAAAATAAAAATAAAAAAGCTTACAGTCAAAATGGAGCTAGAATATTACAGACTGCTTCAGTGACTTTTTTTTGGCTTTTAGTTCTGCTGCCTTTGGGTAGCCTTTCAGTGGCTACTTTATGTGGACTCTTCATCTGCTAAATACAAAGTACTTAACAATGCACTCTTAGAGTGTGCATAACAAACAAAGATTACAGAACTTCAAAAGATAAAATCCTTTAAATCCTGATCTTTTACTATAGTTAGAGTTACAATTCACTTCCTGGGAAGCAAATGTGTAGTCGAAATAAATCCTGGTACTCACTGGGACAGGTTATTATTTATTCTCTCTGAACCTCAACTTCCAAAGTAACTCTCCTCCCTGTGTCAGTCAGCTGTGTAGAGAGATGTCTTTCATCCCAGCACACCTCCCCCGAGACTGAAAGCCCCCTGAGAACACAGACCACATCCCACTCACCTATCTACATACTCCATTCTCTTCCCACCCTTGGCATGTGACTGGGCACCTGCTAAGTGTTCGATAAATAGTGATCAGTGTCCTGGTTGCTATTATATGTTGGTCTCCCTCACACACACACTCATTTGGTACCTCTAGTAAGCTATATTTGAGAAAATCTCAGACTTCAAGTTTGGCCACACATACTATTCCAAGTAATAATTATTCTTCCTAAATATTTCTGCTGCGGTCAAATGCAGACTATGAAGCCTTAGTCTCTACTTTCCCCAGATTTTATAAAACATGACCTCAACCGAAGGTTCTAAACTTTAATAATGTCCTCACAAGTCTAAGAATTCATGCACTAGAGTGGCAGTTACAAATTTTGTAGAATGGAACTAAAGCCAAAACATATACCAAAAAATAAACTGCCTAAAACCAGTCCAGTTAAAAACATAGTAATAGCAGCTACCACTTACTGAGTGATGATCACGCCAGGCCCTGTGCTCAATGCTGTTACTATACCCTTGTGCATGAGTTTAGGAAAACTGGCCTGTGGGGTATAGTTATGCCTAATTTATTTTAAAAAATTTAAAAAATTAAGGTACAGACCTTGCTCAAAGTTAGTCTACTTCTCTTAATACACACACACACACACACACACACACACACACACACACACCCCTTTTCCCCCCTGAGAAACATTTAGATTCTTCTATTCCCACAGATGACTCCCAATTTAAGAGTTGCAATTATTGTAAAAACAGAAATAACCAAACAATGCCCAGGCAATGTTTCTCCACAGATATTCCATTTTATTATGCAACTTGAAATAACATTTTGATTCACTGCACTTACAAAATGCCTTTCATCCAAGAAACAAAGCGTGATTCCTTAACACAACTCCATCAATCTTCTAACATCAGAGGTAGATAGATGGAAAGTCTAATCATCCTAATTTTATAGAAAGAGAAAACTAAGATGTTTGGGGAAGACATTGCCTTGGCAGTGGGACTTGAATTCCATAGTTATGGCCCAGGAACACCATGTGGATTAGTAAGCTCAATTTAATAAAAAGCCATCTACCTAAGGCAAAGATCAATTCATGCTTTGAGAGTAACACAGGAAAAAGCTGATATCATTCATTATGCCAATATCTGGCTATCAGCTTTGTCTGGCAAAAACTTATATCTATGTATTCTGGCATTTCCTTTGTGCCATAGTTTACTCGATATTTTGTTTATCTGTATGGTCACAGTGACTTAAAAATCACTTTTAAAATCTTTTTAAATGTGATAACCTGGTTATGATACTTTAAGAGGGACACTGAGACATCCAAAGAAGAGTAAAAGGGTGAGAGGACTAGAAATAATGTCATATCAGAAAAGCCGAATTTAATCCAGAGGCAAGACTTAAAGGGAATCTAAGTTAGTTAATTAGTTAGCTAATTTGTTTGTTCATTCATTCATTCAAGCATTACTATCTCCTATGTCCCAAGCATCATGCCAGGATTTGGGAATTCCACAATAAGTATGTAACAGTCACTGTCCTCAAAGAGCACAGAATCTATGGGGGCAGAAGTGATTATAATACAATGTGTTAACTGCTACAGTAAGGCAAGCACAGGAGGATTATGGGAATTCACAGAAGGGGTGCCTGGTATAGACTGGGAAGTGCATAATAATCAGGGATGGTTTTTAGAAGAAGATAACAAACAGCTTTGTTTGTCAAAGACAAGCAAGGTTAGCCAGAATGAAGGTGGAGGAGGGGATTAAAAGAGAAGCAAGGCAGGAAAGAGGCAGCAGTAGATGTGAAAACCCCCAGTAGTGAGAAACGTGATCCATTAAGGCACCACACACTCATCAGCAAACCTGGAATATCAGGTAAGAAGGGGCCGAGTGGCAGGCAAGGGGGCTAGAATGGGCAGAGGACCCACATGTGAAAGGCCAGTGCTCACCTGCTGTGGCAGGTACACTTCACCCTAAAGACTGTGAGAAGCAGTAAAAGGGGGAATGATGGGCTCGGAACTCACATTAGCAAGATAATTCTGACTGCAGTGTGAAGGAAGAACTTCAGTGGGGCAAGACTGGAGGGAGGAAACTATTAGGAGGCTGTAGCAGTGATCTAGAGCCTGAACAACCTTTACAGCAACAAGGGGTGCTGGGAAATAGACAGACTCCAGTGATTCCGAAGGTAGGGACCTATGGGGCTAAGGGAACCCCAGGAGGCAGTGCAGGATGACTGGCAGGTCATTTGGGATAAGCAAATGGTAGATATGGGAGAATTTACCAAGATAGGAAATCTAGAAGTATGTTTAGAGGGAAGATGAGTGGAAGAGTAATCACCTGTAAGAGAGAACAGCCCTGTTCTGAGGGCTAAACCAAATCTTTGAGTGGGTAGTAAAGGGAGACAAATCTCAACTCACAAAAAAGAACATTCTAAGATTTAGTCACATGAAAACGGAAGGGGATGCCTTAGCCAATAAAGCACATTCCCGCCATAGAGATGTTCAGGAAGAGCCTGGATGATCACCTGGCAAAGAGAATTCAAGCACCTAAAGAGAGCAGGATCAGATTGGAGCTTCCCCTTCTCATTCTCCACACAGAGTCTTTTATAAACAGAGCTGGCCAAGGCACTCTCCTCCTGAAAGTCTTCTAATGGTCTGCCGATCCACTGAGGGGAAAATTCAAACACAAGGCCCGCATGATCTGGCTCCTGCCTACCAGCTCTTCTCCCCTCTCTCCATGCCTTCCAACTCAGCACCCCTCCCTGTACACCAGCCAAACATGATGAGCTCCTTTTCCAGCCCGGGCTTCATGTATGCGCTCCCCTCCCCCTGCAATGCCCTTCTCTGGCTCTTGATGTGGCTAGTCCTTCTCATCCTTCTGGAGATGGTCACTCTTTCCCAGTCATCCCTGGGCACTTAGTCTAAATCTAAACATATTCCTGCCTCACGTGCTCTCTCTTCAAAACTTGCTTGTTTCTTTTATAACTAATTATAAAGTATAATTATTTGTATATTGGGATTTTTTTTGGTCTGTGTGCCAATAATATAGGAAGTTCCAAAGGACAAGGACCGCATTGTACTCCCTAGTGCGTAGTACAGCATCTAATAAATTGAAGACACTCAGTAAATACTGTTGATTAGTTATCAACTTGAGGCACAGAACAAGGCCAACCCAGGGTGACATATTAAAATCACCTGCAGGGCTTTTTCACATTGCATTCCTCCCATAACAGAAATCACTACTGGAGCAAACTACTATCACTATTTGGGAAGCTGTCACACCCTAAGGGAAGATGTTGCAACAAAAGGCTGAGAAACACTGGATCAGACAGTCTCTGTCCAACCTGAAGATTTTATAATACTCTGTGAATATAAATGATACTTTAAAAAAAACCAACCTAATTCACTCATGTTGTTAAAACGAAACCTGAGAGAACTGAAAAGTTATCCCGTTTCTTCTGTCTTTCCATCTTTTTCAACTCTAGCCTCTTTTTATAACATAATAAAATTTGATCTAAAACACAAGAGTCCTAGTTTTTCCTCAAGGCTCATGGTCAGTCTGTCTGAAAATCTTTTCTGGAAGTAGTGGTACTAATTAAATGCCCTACCCTCTTTGAGTTGAGTGTAATAGGTGACTCTCAGTCCCCATGCCTCTACTCTGTTGGACCATGGCTCACATGCCCAATAAGAAAGAAGTTAGGAAGCATTGCCTGGCAGGGCCAAGCCCCTAAATGGGAAGTAAAACACCTAACCCGTCTTGAATCACAACACAGATGATTCACTGGTGAATAACCAGGCTGTATTTTAAGACAGAATGAGTTGTTTAAGAAGAAAACATACTTTAAGACTACTGTGTTCACAGCAGGAAAGCTGGTGGATAGATATACTGATACTACAATAAAGCAATCAAGGAAGTGACTTTTGGGGAGGTGACAGGAGAGTAAAGATACAGTCAGAGGGAGAGACTTTAAATTACCTACAGTAAAGTCCCCTGGCAAAAAAAACAAGACTTGAGGTTATGAGGGGAAGGAGGGGTATGAAAGGGAAAGTAGAAGCCTAAACTACATCTCAGGTGATAAAGGGCCGTGCAAATACTGGCTATAGTTCCAACCCAGAAAAACCTGGGCACAGAATGGAAGGGTTTTCTGGTTTGATGCTCGCCTGTCAGTCACCAATGTGAATACATACATACAGAGCAATCACCTTCTCAGGGTGATCTTCAAGTACAGGCATATCTCATTTTCTTGTGCTTTGTTTTACTTTGCAGATACTGTGTTTTTACAAAATGAAGGTTCGCAGCAACCCTGCGTAGAGCAAATCTATTGGCATCATTTTTTCTAACAGCACTTACTCACTTTGTGTGAGTCACATTTTAGTAATTCTTGCAATATTTCAAATTTTTTCATTATTAGTTTATTTTTTACGGTGATCTGTGATAAGTGATCTTTGATGTTACTATTATAATTGTTTTGGGGAGCTATGAGCTGTATCCATATGAGAGAGCAAGCTTAATAAATGTATGTGCTCTGACAGCTCTACTGACTGGCCGTTCTCCTGTGTGTGTCTCTCTCTTCTCTGGCCTCCCTATTCTCTGACACACAACAATATTGAAATTAGACCAATTAATAACCTTATAATGGCCTCTCAGTGTTCATGAGATAGCTGCAGAAGAGAAGTCAATGAAAACTTCAAAGCTTCAAAGGACAGGCTGACTCTCTTGTTAGGGGATAATGCAGCTGGTGAATTTAAGTTGAAGCCAGCACTCATTTACCATTCTGAAAAATCCTAGGACCCTTTAGAATTATGCTAAATCTACTCTGCAAGTGCTCCATAAATGAAACATCAAAGTCTGGATGATAGCATGTCTATTTACAACATGGTTTGCTGAATACTTTTTTAGTCTACTGTTGAGACCTACTATGCAAAAAAAAAAAGTCTTTCCCAATATTACTCCTCATTGACAATGTTCCTGGTTGCCCAAGAGCTCTGATAAAGATATGAAATGAGATTAATGTTGTATTTATGCCTGCTAACACAACATCCATTCTGCAGCCCATGGATTGGAGAAATTTTGACTTTCAACTCTTATTTAAGAAATACATTTTGTAAGGCTGTAGCTGCCACAGAGAATGATTCCTCTGATGGATCTGGGCAAAGTAAATTGAAAACCTTCTGGAAATAATTCACCATTCCAGATGCCATTAAGAACATTCATGATACACGGGAAGAGGTCAAAATATCAAGATTAACAGGAGTTTAGAAGAAGGTGAATCCAATCCTCATTGGTGACTTTTAGGAGTTCAAGACTTCAGTGGGGGAAGTAACTGCAGGTGTAGTGGAAATAGTACGAGAACTAGAATTTAAAGTGGAGCCTGCAGATGTGAGTGAATGCTGCAATCTCATGATGAAACTTTAACAAATGAGGAGTTGTTTCTTATGGATGAGCAAAGGAAGTGGTTTCTTGAGATGGAATCTACTCCTGGTAAAGATGATGTGAAGACTGTTGAAATGACAACAAAGATTTAGAATATTACATAATCTTAGTTGACAAAACAGCTAGCCGAGTTTGAGAGAATTAATTCCAATTTTTAAAGAAGTTCTACTCTGGGTAAAATGCTATCAAACAGCATCACATGCTATAGAGAAGTCATTCATGAGAGGAAGAGTCAATTGATGTGTGGAACATACTGATGAATCTCAGAGCAATAAAGTATTTTTTTTTTTTTAAATATCTTTATTGATTTCAGAGAGAGGAAAGGAAAGGGAGAGAGAGAGAGATAGAAACATCAATGATGAGAGAGTCATTGATCAGCTAGCCTGCAACCTGGGCATGTGCCCTTACTGGGAATCGAACCCCGATCGCCTGGATCCTAGGTCGATGTTCAACTGCTGAGTCATGCCCGGCCAGGTGCAATAAAGTATTTTTAATTAAGGCATGTATATTTTTTAGCCATAATGCTACTGCACACTTAATAGACTACAGTATAGTGTAAACATGACTTTTATATGCACCAGGAAACCAAAAATTTGTGTGACTCACTTCATTGCAGTATTTCCTTTATTGTGGTGGCCTAGAACGGAACCCGCAATATCTCTGAGGTATGCATGTACAATAATATGTTTACTAGCTGAATAACTGAATGTATAACATAGATGACTTAGAATTTTATCAGCTTAAGAAGATCACTCCTTCTACTTGAGCACTGTGATACTCTGGAAGTTCTCAAACCTGTCAGAAAAACACTTTGAAAGGCTCAAGTCTCTAGTATCCATCATAGTGTGGGGCGTTAGCATGAACTGATGAAAATTATCTTCCTTCCAAAATAGCTTCAATCCCCTGTGCCACCAAAGATACAAAAATGAGCAACATGGCTGGTCAATTTAAATTTTACCACTTTACTCTTTCCTTGCCTTGTTCTGGTTAAGATGTTAACAGATAATGATACTGCTAAAAGATGGACAATTAAGAAAAAACAAAACATTAAACAATTTATAAGCCAGATCATCAGGCATGAAATAATCAAAGGCATTGATTTTCTGTATAATTTGGTAACTGAAGAAAAACCATTCCATAGACCAAAATTTACAGTTTAACAAGTTGAATTTCATCTTTCTCTATGAGGGCCTTTCTCTTCGGTCGATATGTAGCTAGGGTTACCTAACTGGTCAAATTTCTTCTTGGACACATACACATTTTTTTGATCTTATAGGAAAGAGATGACATCCCACACACCTTTTCCCTACCCCCAACTTTGTAGATAATCTTGCTAATGGGCACACTTCACTCGCTTGCTCTTACCTATTGCTTGGAAGTGCATCTGAGCCTGCTGGGCTACTGTGTTGAGAGGGTCCGGCCCGGGTATTCACCTACAAGTAAAGAAAAAAATCTTGATCAGTTTTGTGTTCTGAGGATACAGTTCTAATTAACCTATAATTTGCCATAAATTTCTCATTTCACTATGAAGGTTAATTAGCTTGTTGCTAGATAGACCCATGGTTGGAGTCTATTTAGTATATAGGTTACAGAATTATACAACCTGTATATTACATAATACCCTATTACTGTCATTATTCAAATACTTAAACAGTGCTGAAAAAAAGGAGAGAGCAATAGGAAAACTTTTCAATTCAATGTCTAGAACTGAATTCAAGTCTAGAGAAAAAAATCCCACTTACTGTTTTGTTTTGTTTCATATACAAAAACCCAAGACCCATATGTTCAAAAAAGTATATTAAGAATACATTCAGGGCTTAGTAGTGAACCTCAAGCTGTCATATCCTTTCAGCTCTAAGACAGAGCAGAAAGCTGTAGAATGTTCCATGTTCACTAAAAAATGAAGTCCAAGTAATTAATTATAAAATGTTTGAATCTAAAAGTCAGCTTTTCCTTCAAATGTAATGCCTTAAACAGAAATCCAGAATTCAAAGTACATAGAACAATGAAAAGGCATTAAACAGATATATGTTTCTAGCATAAATACATCAAAAGAAGAGGGGGGTATTCTGAGCACTATGCTTATGTGTTTAATCAATCGCTGAAATGAAGTATTTTTACAAAAATAAATCTTTTTGGAGGCCAGTACCCAGGATCATTGTGAAGAAAGAGAATCAACAAAACAATTCCAAATAATAAAATATACAGCAACAAAACCCCTGTATCCAAATATATATACATATTAAGCAAATACTACAGATGAATCCCCCTCCACCTCTCATTTTAAAAAAGAAGGGGAAAAAAAAAAAGATTGCTTGTCAGAGCTTGAGAAAGTGCAGTTTTATTTGACATTTCAATAAGTGGAACACAGCATTACAAATCCATCTAACTTTACTGAAACAATTATTGAAATTCGTACCTTCAGGCCATGTATGTTCCGTTCCCCAGGAGGCTTGCAGGCTGAAACAGTAATTGACTAAATTGTAGAACACATCAGGGCCATTTACAAATTTGCTCAAAATGAATCGTTTAAAAAGAAATGAGGGTGACACCAAAATTAGCAGAGAGAAATGATTGAAATGTGGCTCCCAAGACCCAAAGTGGGAATTATGAACCAGGGTTTTTAACTTGCAGGAGTGAGCATTTATAAATGCAAAGAGCTTTCTGACACCACCTCATATAAATTCCAATTTCTGCTTAAAACATATAAAAATCAAGTTAACTGAGCTAAAATGATTATATTCCTTTCATAATTCAAATTTCTGCAATCTTTCCCCACTCTATTACATTGTATATCTGCTATCACTTAAACTACTTTGAAATAGCTAGGTTTTTTTAGGGGGGTGAGGAGTGGGAGAAGGGTCTTTTAAAGCCAACATGACTGCTAGAGATTCTAAGATAGAATATTCAAGTCTGAATAATGCTAGTTTGCACAGCAATAAAGAGTCAAATTTATTAAAATACACAGATATCACTAATTTTACTGAATTTCTTACAAATCTTGACATCTGCTAATATTTGTCTATAGATAAAGCAGTGCCAACAAAAATAATATTAATTTCCTGACACTATACTGTGTTAGAGGTTAGTATTTTTCCAATTCAGCAAATGCTTCTTCATCAAATGTTAAAAATACAACAGCTTCCTGCCCATGTTATAGGTTGCTTCCATCTGAAAACTACAGTGCCCTACATATTATATGTTAAGGGGCTGTCAATTTTGATAGATTGTTTGGGGAAGGATGAATTTGATTTTTTTTTTTCTCCTCTCTCAGAGGTACATGTATTTTTCCTGTTTCTGACACCAAGAAATACAGCTGTTTAATAACAATAATATGAGTAATAATTACAAAGCACATCAGTAGCTTTAAATTTGTATATTTCAAGTATATTCAAATTTATTATGTTATTTTCCTAGAAAATATATCTAAACCTTAATAACAATTTTTTATTTGTTTTTCTAAAATACATTAAAATTAAGACTCCAACTCTTCTTTCCTTAAAATGGAGATTAAATTTTTGAACAAAACAACAATCACATAGATTTGATGCTTGGTCCTCGAGGGACCATTAATACAACATTTCAGAGTATTTCCACTAAAGTACCCAGTATATTCATATACTTCATTTAGTAAGAAAGTGCCTAATGAAGGGATCAGAGACAGGCATCAACTCTTATCTCTTAACATCCACCTCGTTCCTCAACTGGCTTCTCAAACCTTTATGACTGAAAATCTACCCTAGATTTTTGAAAATCTAGTATTCAAAAGACCTAGTAACCTCATATTTCCTAAGTTATAGAGTCAGAAGTTACTATAAAGCTAGTAAATTTTCATACTTATTAACATTTAACATATTTTTTTAACAACAGAAAGGACTTACCATCCAAAGCAATTATCCTACTTGGAATGAGGAGGACATCTGATGCTAGAACAGAAACTTTATCTCATGTCTTTCTCACTTATTCAGTCCAGAAATTCTTTTTAACATGGGGCCTGACCACAGAATCTAAGGTCTGAGAGCCTCTAACCAACTGTATAGACCCAATTAATACATCCAGTATGTCTATATCCTAATTGTACGCAAGTTCACATAATCTCACTTATCTATATATGACGTAGATAAGTAAACAAAAAGCAAAAGACTACAAAGAAACTAAAAAGAGTTGTACAACAGCCTGACAAAAAGACAAAACAAAACAAAACAAAAACCCATGAGATAGAGTAACCGAGTCTCATATTTTTAAAAATTTAAATTTGGTTTGGAGGAGCTTTATTTAATAATTTATTGGAGCCTAATAGGTTCTGTGCTAGGAATATATGTGACACATTTAATTTCTTTTCTTTTTTCAGTATCTTGTCCCTACATTACACTCTTCTCCACACTCCTACAAACCCCTCCAAACTACCCCCATGCACACCACTGATATTTTAACTTACATGCCCTTCTACCTTTTTTAGCCTCTTCATTATTTTTATTACTCAAAAAAGCATTTTTTTTTTTTTTTTAATTTAGCTTTCTGACTCTGTGCTTGTGCCTTCAATACTTTCACGATTTTCTGCTCCTCAATAAGGACAGCACACTTAATCCTGTCACAGACACATTTAGCACATGATCCACCACAGGCCCTTCTGACATTTTTTTTCGTTTAGACAACCTCATTAGAACTTCAGGTCTCACAGCACATACTCTGCCAAATTGGCCTGGGTACATGCCACATGCAGATTTTGGTGCTTTCCCAACCTTCCTGGCATAAAGGTAAACAATTCTACTATGAGGGGTTCGGGACAGCCTAGTTTTGTTAGAGGTTGTATTGTAGGACAGCCTCTGACAGTATCTCAAACGCTGGGCCACTGTGAATGCCTGAAGTCACTGTCTCCAGAAGAGAAAAAGGAAAATTGCCCTCTACTTTCTGCAAATTATATTTATATTTTAAACAAAATTCTTTTTCCCCCCGAATCTATGTATTGTTTTTCTTTTTTTTTCTTTTTTCTTAATTTTATTTTTGTTTAAAATATTACAGATGTCCCTTTTTCTCCCCAATGACCCATTCCGCTCTGTCCCATTCCCCTCCCCAGTCCCTCTCGCCACCACTGTCCGTGTCCTTGGGTTGTGCATAAAACAAAATTCTTACTCAAAGGGTACATTAACCACTTATAAGCTATGTGATTCTGAAATTACTTAACCTCCCTGAACTTCAATATTCTTATCTATACAATGAAAGCAATAATACCCAATAGGCAAAACTGTTTGGAAATTAGAAATAACACTTAAAGCAATATTAGCACCTGAACAAAGAAGATGTCTAAAAATGGTTATTATCATGGGAGGGAGTACAGTGGTATAGAGAGTAACACCGACAGGGACTGCTCACAAAATAAAAAAAAATAAAAAAAAAAACTTGAAAAGATTTTGGACAAAAACGTAACCATTTTATTGAAAAATAATGACAGCAACAAAGGCCCACAGCATTAACCTGTAACTTCCCAGGATACTATACTAGGGCTTGCTATAACAGCAGAACTATAATGCCATCAAGTAGGGAAGTAATCAATGGAAATTTTTCAGCTGGTAAAAAAATATTCCTTGCATAGAAACAATTTTGAAACTTGACCAAATTCTCCAGTCACTAAAAATATTGCTAAACAATCTGCATCCTTGTTATTGGCCTAATATACAAAAACGGCAAAATTTCTTTTTTTTTAGTTTTTAGTCTTCAAATGCAACAGAACTGGATTAATCATAATCCTTGTTTCAAACACACTGTCAATGGCCCAATTTTATTCCCTTAGCTCTTTAATAAGTTACTGTTAATAATTTACTAAGTACTCCCAATCCCACCTCCTACATCAATGCTGGAAAAGCAGCATTGCTCTTGAACCCAGATCTTGTGGGTTGGCAGAGTCAGCTGCCTTTGGAGACTTCATCAGTGCAAATAAGTCTACTAGTTAATTGAGCCATTCAAACTTCAGAGTGTTACAGGTAATGAAAGTCTAGAATGTTTAATTGGAAAACTCATACCATGATTATTTGTACAGTATCAGTTAACGAAGGTAAGTTTAACTTTTAATTATTTCAATTAAGTTATTTCTAGAAGAGTTACTTAAGAGAATTTCCTTATGTTCCATCAGTTAGAAAACATGGATTCCAAGTGGGGCAATGAATAATGGGTGAAAGACTTAATGATTTATATAATTAAACTGTTCTTTTTCTCCATTATTCAAATTTTGAGGGAACTTTATATACAGGTGAACAATCATATCTGATATAAGGCTAGTAGTGACAAACCTAAAAGCAAAAAAGCAAATTAACTGACCAAGTGATTCGCTAAGACTTACCTTAATCAGCTTATATTTTTGAAGACATAACAATTAAATTTCCATTTATGAGGACTTTCTCTTATTTAGAAAAAAGCCACCCCCAAAAACAAAGCATCAAACATTCCACCAAAATTTTTCTCCTAAAGCTCCTTGGTAAACCTTAGCTTCTGTACTAGCTGAAAGCTTTCTCCACAATAGCAGCTCTGGCTACCATCATGAGCCACAATTTATAAATATCCAAAATTAAAGTCATTCATTTGCCTTGGTTTAGAAACCATGTGGACCCCCAAAGAGTTCTTTAAGCGAATGTAAGTATGTACTTCAAAAACAAAAAACAATCTAGTTAGTTTAATTTACTCTAGTAAATTAGATATTTTATCTGCCATAACTATAATATAGCCTACAATCCCCACGATAATGAATACGTCTTTTGTTTTTTTCAAATTAAGAGCTAAACATCCCGTTATGTGCATTTAAACCTTTGGAAAACATAACTGTTGATGAAACAGTTTACTGAAATAATCATTGTTGATTAGAATTTGTTCAACATTACCTCTTGGAAAGATCTGTAGAGGCTCTATTAACTGTCCATTTACTTGCTGTTCCATTACTGTGGAATAGTACTGCAAAGAGATTATAGAAAGAGATTACTCAGTAATGTATGAATACTGCAGCAGGCACTTACGGGTTGTTTAATTCATAGCACTTTTGTAAATTGCTGGTGTATATATATATATATATATATATA